CAATTGATTTCGGCCATCTAATGTGGCTCAAAAACCGAATCCGGGATTGTGTAACAATGACAAAAGTGCTCTGCAGACAATCGCCACAACAAAAGGCAAATTTTTCGGTAGCTGCAACACCATCATTTGTTGCCTTGACTGGCAGTGGGAACAATCTTTATGACCACTGGGGCCGCAGATAAATCACAGGACCCCTGCTCCCATCGCCCACAAAATGCAATGTTTAGTCACTAGCTTTTATTTGCTTTGGTTACGTGTGTGTATGCACTTAGAAAAACGATCCTTAGAAATGTACGATTTATCAAGATAGAATACTTAAAAAAAACGAAGATCTAACTTCTAATGGGTTGTTTTAAGAATTTCAACAATTAAGTTCAATACCTTTTATAGGTTTTAAAATAACTTTTAGCTTAACATCCAGACGAGAAATGGGTGTAGGCTTAAAAAACTTTTTGTTTTGAGATGCATGGGTTAAACAATGTTAAGAATCCCTTGATTAATTTTGTTCGAGAAAATTTTAATAAGGGATGGGCATTGGAATAGGAAAATTATAAACTAAGCCTTTTTTAAAGTTTAAATTAAAGTATGGGAAGAGGGAAATCTAATTTAAACTTTGTGTTGAACATTGTATAATACTTAGAATTCTTTTTTATGCTTGGTTGTTTATAGATTGTATTAGGTATAAATATAAGCCATTGGGGTATTTGGTGACATTTAAAATATTTATAAAATAACCCAAATTTTTTGGAAGTGTTTAGACTTTTTTTTTGAGTGTTGGAGGCCTACATCAATCATCGCGGCTCCCCTCCTGCCAAAGATTGGGCACCATCAGAATACCCGTGCCGCCGCTCGAAGACCAGCTTCTTCTGCCCCGCCGTTCTGTTTCAAGTTTAATTACTTCGCATACGTTTTAATTACGAGTGCTGAGATCTGGGACCCAAGAGCTGTGAGCTCCACTGAATGGAGCACTAGCAGCAACTAATTTGGCAATTTGGCCAACTGCACGAGGCGGCTGTGTGAGTGTAATTACTTTATGGAGTGCACTGTGAATGCGTCTTTTATGACAGCCATTGAAGTGCAGAGCGATCGAGATCGGGTCCATTGCTCAAATGCCAAAGGTGATTGGAGCCATGGAGGATGAGCGCCGAAGATTCCCAGGTGCGACCTTCGCGAGCTTCAGTTGTGCGATGGAATGTTATCAATAACTGCCGGGACTGTTTCGGATGTTCTTGATGAAGTCGTTAAACGAAAATAGTTATTATTGTAAATAGATTTTTTCAAGAATCTACAAGTAATACAAATGAACTTTAAGGCGCTGAATGTGTTAGTATAATTAGAAAATATTTAGATTAAGAAAAAGTTTGTAGATTATAAAGTTTTGATAACTGTATTGTAAATCATTTTGCATAAAATTAGTAAACACTTAATAAATAAATTTAAATAATTTAAATAAATGTTAATTAACTTGGAAATTATAATAGAATGAGCTAAAGGGGTCTTTTCCTATAAATAATAATATAAATAATAGTAATAATAGTCATAATAATAATAAAAATGTTTTTTTTATTTTAATTAACAATAATAATAATAGTAATATTGTATAACATGACTATGATAAATAAATTAAAAATACAAATTAATTGCGAATACATAATGTAAAGTTCTATAAATATAAAACATAAAGCCTCTGGTTTTTAAATGTTAATGTTAAAATGATCCTAGTATTACATTATTAAGTAACTTTTGCCTAATGGATACAGTTTCATTAAATCGCAACTATTAAAAAGCGTCGTCATAATGCAAGGCATTTCCTTATAGCCACCCCTACCAAAAACCACCCACACCCAGCTTACTCACATCCATTTCAGTTCACTTTAGAGCGATTCGAAATGTCAAAGTTTGGCACTTTAGTGTGTGAGTCAATCTTTTCAACTTTTACTCCGATTCCGGCAAGAGGCAGCGACCTTCGCTTTGGGTGAAAAAATGCAGTCGGTGTGCGAAGAACTTTGAGCCACAGAAATCAGAAATCAGAAACCGCTCTCGAAAGATCATCATAAAGAGTGCCTCAATGTTTTCAAAGTGAGGCGCAATTTACATCAAACGAAGCCTATGCCTTAGTTGATTCTGTCGGCGCTTCCATGGTCCGTCTTGGGGGGCATTGCATCAGAAATTATCGTAGTTTAATTTAAATTACACGTTGGCGGCGCTCCACTCGTCGGCATTCTAGGTTACAAAACAAACACAGATACGGATCTGCAGATACAGAAACAACTGATTCGGATTCGGAATCGGTATCGGATTCAGTTTCGGGGCAATTGTACAGACATATGTATTTCAAGGTCCGCCCCATCTTGAAGCTCTAGAGCAGCCATCAGAAATTACAGATCGTCATTGTCTTCGACTTGGCGCATCATCACCTGGCCAGGTGCCATTAGCTTCCCTCTCCAACTCAAACTCCATCTAGATGGCCTCTCTGTCTGGCACGTTCAATGTAAATTAGCCGATGCAGGAAATTAAATGATTTTTTAATGTGCTGGAAAAATGATTACAAACGTTAAGAAAAAAAACAGGCAGAAGACGCTGAAAACTGAAACCCGAAAACAGATTTCAAGTTGTTCGTGGAGTGCTATTGAATATGAATTTCAGTTTTTCGTTTCCGAGACACATTCCTTGGCTGAATGTAGTTTTATTTAATTGTTTTGCTTACAACCAAAAATTCATATTTGCCATTATGAGATGGAGTCTGCCTGGCTGTTATACTTTTTGTTTGTTTATTTTAATTTTTCGCATTCGCATATTTGCAAACATAACTTGAAATGATCTTGGTAATTACAATACTTTCGGAGTTTATTCTCTAATTTATTTTTTTGTGGTCTACGGCAAGGTCGAGTATTACTTGCAGAAAAACGGTTTGCGGAATTGGCATTTAGGAAGCTATTCATCCCCATCCCTTCTAGCCTTCATTCATTTTCAGTTCATTTAGGGCGGGGCATCGGAAGGTCTTTAAATTTACAACTCATAAACTTGGCATTAACGAATGTGAAAGTCAGCTCGTGCCAAATCGCATAATGAGCAAAATGCCTGCCACAAAATTCAAAATTTGCTACGCATTCGATCAATGAGCCAAAGACAATTGTCCAACGGAATATTTGCAAATCGTGATGGATGCTACGCCCACTGTTTCATTGAACATGAAATATGGCAATAAAAATATTGAGTTACTTTTCCCCGTTGTCAAGTATAGTGCTCAAGTACTTTTTAAGAGTTCAAGTTTTCTTTGTGTTATGCAATCGACTTTTTAATGGGATAAATAAATATTCAAAACTATTGAACAAACACAAATGTGTCATACAGGAAATATCAAATGCTGTTTCTTGCACAATCTTATTTTTAATGAATAAGTTTAAGTAAAATAACACATTCATCTGTTTTTTTGCATAATGTTATTTTTTATAAACGCCACAGCACAAGGACATTGTAAGGTTTTAAAATATAACAAAGAACATAAACCTAAATATACAGGCATAATAATAAACTTCATTGAAATATAAGCTTTAATTCAAATACATTTCACAAACAAAGCAAACTTTAAGCTAAATGAAAAGGATAGAAAATACATCGTTTTTAGAACCAATTTAGAAGATACATTTTTTTAGAATGTTCAGTTTAATTTTCATATACACTTTGCTCACTTTTAACATCTTAATTGGGAGCATACTTCTTTTAGAATTATATCGACTTCATTAAATTAAAGTAAACTTAATTAAACATATTAATTAGATTAAGAATTTGGAAGTACTTATATGGAATTACTGAATTTCTTAGATGACATTGAAGTTCATTGAATTATAAGCTAGCGCACAGTTTTATTTCCCCCCAAATATTTTAAACTAGTATTTTTTATTGATCACATAAATCAATAAATAAAATCCTTGATTTTAATCTAAAACCTTTTTAAATATAAATGGCATTTTCAAGCAATATGGCATTGTTATACTTTGGAGAGCACACTTAAGTCTCTTCTAATGTTGAGTATAAATTCAATAAAAATCGTCGACACTAGAGCGTATCTTTCCTAGCGAGATAACGTATCTGCAAATCGTTTTGAAACGCTATTTCCCTCGCAGTGCTCACATCTCAATTGCAGCTTATCCGACTTGAATCCATGTCAACGCCAATCAAAACGGCCGCATCTGTGAACACTGGGCCATAATCCAGCTCATTAGATGTGCCGAAAAAACAAAACCGAAACAAAAAGCCCAGCAGAAACTCCCACGCACCAAAGGGGGGTACTACAATTTGCTGCAGCAAGTTCGTTGCCTGAGTCTTTTGTTTCAAGCCATTCGAGGCGGACGCCGCCGAAGCTGCCGCAAGACTGAAGCCTGCGATCCGAGATGAAGATGCGTGGAGCGGCGGCGGCTCCGCTCACCAGCGGCTGTTTGGACGGCACCGTCGACGTCGCTGCCCGCCGCATGACTAATTCCATTACAAATAAGTGTTTCTGCCATTACACGAGCGGCAACAAATGTTTATGGCCTGCAGCCGCGCAGGAGCGCGGTACTCCCTCGACGTCATTTCTTTAGATATTTGGATGTTTGGTTGTTTGGATGTTTCGATGTCGCAGCGGCACTCATCTTCGCTCATTTGCCAAACCCGAATACAAAAAACGAAGCCAGCTCGTCAAAATGTTTGGCGCTTTAATTTTTAAAGTAACTAGTTTACTATAACAAAACTCCTCAAGCGATTTCCCTCTTCTCGCGAGAGTCAAATCTGCTCTTCCTCTGCTCGGTGCTTTGCATTATTTTGTAATGCTATTCGAGTGCTCGTTCGGCTGTGGAACTCTTTTTTTTTGTATTTTTCTGCCCGAAAATTGAAATAACGAACTGAAAAAACACATTTTGGCGCGCAATTTTTTGAAGCCGACGTCGACGTTAGCTGCGTTAGCTGCTGCTCATTTCAAATATAAATACTGGCCTACGAAATTGTTTCAGTATCACAATCAAGTCAACCATCTTCGCAAGAAGAACACAGCCAACAGAGCAAAGTTAACAAAAACCGTTTTCGTGTGTGCCAAAATCCCAAACAAGTGACAACACAAAATGAAGGTATATACTATAAAGCCAACTGGAACTCTGTAGAGTCAAGTGTCAAGTGGTGTGCTGTGCGAATAAGAGTCCTCACAAAAGGATATGGGCAGAAAAATGGAGGATCTGTTTAGTAAAAATATGCAGGATAAGAGGAGTACTTTATACGGTATTCGGGAGACATTAGGATTCAGTTTCCAATAGTGATATCAAGGATCAATACTTTAATTATTAGTTAGCTACATTTTATGAGTTTATAATATGAGTAATACTCATTTCCATTTTTAAACAACTTAAAGCAAACATGATAGCTAACGATCACTTTGAAAAATGAATAAGGCTGTTTTTTTAATAACATCAAATTTTATTTAATTCTTTATTACCAAAATTGCTATCGAGTTATAAGAAAAATGAATTAAAAACCAGACAATTTCCTTATATTTTAATATTGATCAAAAAGTGCCAAAAACATGTTAGCCAATCGATAGCTCTCATTCAAAATGGATTTTGGCAATAGATCGATCAATCAATTAAACAACTCATCAAGCTAATGAAGCTTTGATTGTCTCACATAACACTTGGCCAAATATTCGGAAGGAGAAGACATGAAATATTAACATTTGAGCCAAATTTAAAGTCAAGTTCAGTAGGGCGATTAATCAAGCGGAGATCCGCATAATAAATTTCATAAGCTGCCATCATCATGGCTAAGATAGCCATCAATTTGTTGGGGATGGCTACTGTTTTTCGCTTTTTTTTTGCCGGGTTACGGAACTAGAACACGACACCGATCTCATCCGCCTGGGAAACAATTGCAGCCAGCGATCCCAGTACATTTCTAGGGTGTGGGTAACAAACAAACACTAAGCCTGGGGTCATTTTGCAATGAATAAATTAGAGAAACTTTAAGTGGCGGAAGAAGAACTACTGGACATGCCCAAGTAGGGTAGTCTGGAGATGACCAGGCGGCGATAAAAAGGTAGACACAAAAGCGCAGCCAAAAAGCATTGCATTTTAACGCCAATGAAGCATGAAAGTCATTGACGGCCCTGAAGATCTTTTGCACAAGATTCGGAAATAAGTTGTGTAAGCCCCAGAGCCGAAGAGGTTCTCCCACAGGCTGTCCGCGCCACACGGCGTATACTTAACATTCAGACGCATTGCGCAAGCCAGAGATCAGCCCTTCACTTGCAGCCCAGCCAAATCCAATCCGATCCGATGGGAGCCTCACCTGAGACCCAATTACCGCAGATTTGCATATGCCCCGGCTAAATGCTGTAAAGATGGGAAAGACAAAGCCGATTCTGGGCCTGCTCGCAAGCCATCAAATCCGAACAAAAGATTGTCAAGCGGGTCACAGCCTAAGCAGTTATGGTTTCGTTATGGGAGTTTAATGAGCTGGTAGCCAACTAGCCGAACAGTAGTACACCACAGGGGGCTTGGAACAGATGATTCACATGAGAAATTTCGCTTTTGTGATCAGACATGGGTCGGGGTTTCGAGTTCGGGCGACATGTCTTTCAGGATCTCAGCCGGCGATCGGTAGGCCATCTGGTGGATCTTGAAGCCGTAAAGCCTGGGGAAACACATCTATATTAGTATTTCGAAAACATATTATTAGTATTAGATCAATTTCAAAAAGACCCCCTTATAATTTCGAAAATAATAATGAGATGATATCGTATAAATTTGAATAATTTCGGAAATAACAATGAGATATTATCCTATAAATATAAATCAAATGGAATACACAATGCACTCAGATAGTAATGTAATCTCTTAAAAACATACTTTAAAACAGACTTATCTTTTAAAATATAAAAAAAAAAAAATATTTTTTATTATTCAATTCAAGAAGACCTCCTTATAATTTCGAAAATAATAATGAGATGATATCGTATAAATCTGAATAATTTCGGAAATATTAATGAGATGATGTCAAAAAAAGTTAAGTCAAATGGGATATACAACAAACCCAGGTAGTAGTGTAATCTTTAACAAATAGACTTTTGAATAGACTTATCTTGTAATCTTTAAAACAACCAAGTTGGTAGGGCTTATAAGGATTGGTATTTGGGTACTATGGGACAAGCTCACCTGGGCACAAACTTCTGCTTCGTCCGCTTGGGCCGCGCATCCGGATTCACCATAAAAAGCATGTGTGGGAATCCGGTGCCGAAGAAGGCCCCATCTAGATTCGAGTGCCTTGCCGCCTTGGGAAAGTACACGTCGTTGCACTTGGGGCAGTAGATGCGGACCATCTCCTCGCCGGGATTGTCGCTTAATCCGATGGGCAGGACCGACTGGCGTTGGCAGAAGGCGCGCGGACACGTGCCGAAGGCTCCCTTGTGGTACTTCTCCAGCATCAGCTCGATGCCACGATTGGTGAGGATGAAGCGGGCATGGATCAATCCATAAAGCTTTTCGGCACTGGCCTCCAGTTCCGGCTCGGCGGGCGCATCCGAGGCTGAGCCCGAGTTCAGATCCAGGATCACCTCCAGGGCACAACGGTAGTTTGTCACATTCGAATCGAGAAAGTTAAGGTTGAATTTGTCATGGATGTAGTCCTCGTCCACCTCACAAAAGAACTCATTGCCACGCTGCTTGCAAAACCAATGGATCCAGGCTGTTTCATCCGAATCGGTCATGGCTGTTCGTCTTTAGTTGCTATCTAGATAGAGGAAACAACACTAAAAAGGGGCTAAAAACGTTTAAAATTTCGAATGTCGGGGCTGGGATTTAGAGTTTTTCGACGTGGTGTGCTAGTTTGGAATAAATATCAAGGAGGTCTTTAAGTTTACTTGGGATTATGCTAACAACTAACCAATTATATCCCACTCTCAGGCCTTTACGTCAATTGCGCTGCTCGTGTGCCTGGCTGCCTGGACCCATGCGGAACCGCCAGTGCCCCAGAACCAGTACCTGCCGCCCAACCAGTCGCCCCAGGCGCCCTCCAACAACTATCTGCCGCCCACGCAGGGCTTCCAGTCGCCGTCGAACAACTATCTGCCTCCCCAGCGCACCGGCGGCGGCGGTGGAGCGCCCAGCAACAGCTACGGAGCCCCCATTGCCCCACCCCAGGGACAGTATGGTGCTCCGGCGCTGACCGGTGCCATCTTCAAGGGCGGAAACGGAAATGGCAACGGCAACGGCGGCTATGGCGGCGGCAATGGCAACGGCAACGGCTATGGACAGCGGGATGAGGAGCAGTACGGTCCGGCCAAGTATGAGTTCAAATACGACGTGCAGGACTACGAGTCGGGCAATGATTTCGGCCACATGGAGTCCCGGGATGGCGATCTGGCCGTGGGCCGCTACTACGTCCTGCTGCCCGATGGTCGCAAGCAGATTGTTGAGTACGAGGCCGATCAGAACGGATACCGCCCAACTATCCGGTACGAGCAGGTTGGCAATGGCAACGGAAACGGAAATGGCAACGGCAATGGACGCAATGGCGGCGGTTACGATAGCAACGCGCAGCAGGGCAAGTTCAACGGCTATTAAGCGGTGATGTGGGAATGTGGATTCCCGATTTAGGTCGACCCCGCAACTATACTCGTCTACTTCATGGGACCGCTGGCCGAGTATTAAACGCCCATCCAGCCAGAGAGCCAGCGATCGCAGTCAGTCTATCCCTATCTCTATGAATACCTTTAGTGGAACGGCCGCCATTTTGCCATAGACAGGCGCGTTCCTTTCCGTTTCCGTTTCACTACCGCTCGTTCCCCCCATGTTTCCTGTCTCTACGCCTGGAACTCCTTGCCGTTTTGTTTTGTTTAAGCGCCTTCATTTTGTGTTAGTCTACGCACACACACACACCACTCACACACACCATGACCATTACGCATTCATACATACATGCATAAGGATTGTATTTAGTTTTTAAACGAAAATGGAAATTCGAAAGTGAAACGAACTTATGAGATTTTTGTGTATATTTAATAATTATTAAATGAATAAAGAAGCATTTTTGTATAAAACAAAGTCAAAAAAGAAAGCCCAAGATGCGTTTTTATTTTTAACAGGGTAGTGTAATCAAATCATTTTTTTTATTATATAATTATTACAGAATGAAAACCTTAGAGTTAGAAAATAATTCGATTGGTTATTTTAATTATTTAATTCAATTCAAAAAATGATATCCAAAATATTTACTTCAGGACTCTTTCCAACTGTCCTTGGTTGTTGTATCTATAGACTGGATCCTTGAGCTGTCCCACAGTTGAATAACTCAACTGAGCCGTAAAGTCCTCGTCATCGTCGTTTTGCTGTGAGCTGAAAGTAACTCTCTGTAGTTTATTATCCTGCGATATGACGAAGTAACGTCCTTCTCTGATTTTCGGTTGCTGGTTGTCTGTGGACTCCTTTACAGTAACTGGCTCTTCCTCATCGGGATATATGATTTTAAATTTAGGATCTGGTGGGCCGTACTGATTCACCGGTCGGGAGCTGGGTAGAATCTCTCCATCGGGAATATCCAGTTGTTGAGGGGGCAGATAGTTCGATTGAGGTTTATCCACTGGTTCGATTTGGTCAACTCGTGCCTTGGTGATTTCCACACTTTGACGAACAGGAGGTACGTACTCATTGGGTAGGTTAAATGGAACCCGCGGATGCCAACCAGCTGGGGCATAAGGAGCTCTACGTCCAACAGTTGGACCTACTTCTCCTCGCACAGTTGCCAGAAATGCAATCAGTAGGAGATACTTTAAGAAAGAATTTTAAAAATACACATATAGTTTCGTAAATCGAACACCAAAATATACCTTTGTCACCATTTTGACGAACGGTGCGTTTGAAACTGCGGTGCAATGTTTGGGACTCGTTCATTTTTATATTGGACAATTGGAATCATTGCAATGTTTATCATGCCGGACACGCACCTTGTTCGGCTGACACCAATCGGACTGCATCTGTTCCATCTTCAGACTACATAGTCACGTATCCAATCGACAAAAGAAGAATCAAATGCACACAACCTTGACAACGGATGAGCGAATAATTGGCAAAGGCTCAAATTTAGTTTGGATGACAGAAGTTAGTTAACGGTTGTCAACTCTTAAAACCTATGTATGAAAAGTGAAAGGGAAAGTAAAATGTTGTTCTTTATTTTGAACAACTAGTTGAATGAATAAATGAATTTAGACTTAGCAAGATCACTGCTTATATTTGATTAAAACGAAAACCAAAGAATGCATGCAATAACAAACAATCATTACATGTAGTAATTAAATGTAATAGTCAAATGAAAGTACACATTTCGGTAAAAAACTTTACATTTTCGAATCTTAAAAGTATTAAGTTTTATATATTCCAATATTTGAAAATACGTTACTTTTAGGGTAACCGCACTTAAACTTTCAAATCTCTTTAATATACAGCCTTACTAATAAGTGCGGTATTTTCACTACTCACGCCTACGGTCTCACAATTTACAAGACACGGCCACACTTCGCAAATGGAATGTTGAAAAAAAACTACACAACTTTAGAAAAATAATATAATAATATAGCTTTAACGGTACAATGAGTGTATTTGTTTATTAGTTCTGTATTGTCCTAGTGCCAGTAGGCAATGTGCACTATGTTGCCATGCTCAACGAGAAGAAATCAGCGAGATATATGTGACGAAATTCCATAAACAAATCAGCGTGCAGCTCGAGGAGAACCTGGTAATACAGAATTCCGGAGGTGGAGGCCACCGTTCTACATCTTTTTTTTGCCTTTCAGACATGTGGTAAACAAACTATTATGCGCCAGTGGCCACGGAGTCCGCCGGAAACCCCAAAACCATGTGGCCCAGCTGCCGCCTCCATGCCGCGCTGCTCATCCTGGCAGTGCTGGCGTGCCCAACTAGCAGTCAACAAGTTCCTCTGGCCATAGCCAACTCAACTAGCAACCAAGTGCCTACGGATCCCGGCTACATGCCCCTGCAGCAGTCGCCAGCGAGCGTCTTCTTCGTCAACCACAACCAGCAGAATGCCATGCAGTTGCGGCACAGCATGGAGGGCAAGCTGCGCAACATTCGCAACATGGAGATGAGGGTGGCCAAGATCCAGGTTGGTTGTTCATACATTAAGCCTTAGGAAACTCAGCTTATTATTTTATACATTTTTGCAGGAAATCTTCGACTCTATGCACTTCAGCAGCTCCAATTTAGCCCCGCCCACTCGCCAAGCTCCGAGCAACGAGAGCAGCCCTAGCAATCCTCAAGTGCAGCGGGATTTGCAATTGTTCAGCAGCCGTCTGAGCAAGAAACTGCAGAAGGCCACCCACGTGGTGCTGGAACTACGAGAGCTCTTTCGCTACAACCTTACCAAGGTCTGGCAATACAGCTACGACGACGAGGATGAGGAGTCGGAGAGCGAGCTGGACCTGGAGATGGAGCTGGAAGATCTGCATGCCAGGAACACGGCATCACCATCCACCGAGCATATGCCACTCTACTTAAACAGCCAAATCGAGAACTGTCAGCCTGACTACGAAACGGACGTGGAGTACGGCTCCTCGTCGACTCAATCCATTCACTACAACAGGCAGCAGATTCAAATCCTCAACTACCTGAAGTCAGATGATGCTCGCGCCACCTTCTTGAATGAAAACAATGCCCGCTCCTTGGCTGTCAATGGGTACATATCGGATCAACTGGTTCTACTCAAACGCAGGCTTAGTCGGAGCGATGCGGAAAACTCGAATAGCAAGCCCAGCAGCGGCAACCACTTCAAGCATATCTATTTCCTGTCCAACTCGGATGGTGCCTCTGCTAGCCTGCACTTTCGTCAGCTGTATGTGTCGGCTATTAAGCAGAAATTTGTGCTCTTCCTCATAGATGTTGGATCCGCTCTAAACGCAGAGTTGCTAGCCCTCACAAAAAGCTTTGGTAAATATTTAAATTAATAATGAATGTCAGAAAATATATTTTATTTCCTTCCAGTACATGAAATGCTCCAACTGCTGGAGGACACAGATAAAGTGTCACTGGTAACCGTTTCGAGTGATGCGAACTTCATGTACCTGGAAGCCTTTCCCGCAGAGGCTGGTCACGGAATTTACAGCGCTACTCGTGGCCACAAGGAGGAGATATACAGCTACATTAATAGCTTGAGCAGGGCACCTGCTCTCACGAATCACTCGTTGGGGTTTGAGTACTCCTTCGAGTTAATCCATCGACTGCAGCAGTCGGGAATGATTAACCCGGCGGAGCAACCAGTGGAATTTGTCTACGTTACGCGGGGTCTTCTCACAAATCTTTCTGATGCGATGGCAGTTCTGCGAGTGGTAGCTGATGGTCAACGACGGCTCAGGGCTCCAGTGATCATCAATACATGCGCGGTGGTGCTCGACGAGAAGCGGATTATGTACGAAAAGCAATTCCTAAACGATGTGGCCACTCAGAACTACACCAAGTACGAGATCGATGTGTCGAGTTGGTGGCCCAGTGGGCAGCAAGCATCTCAGTTGGCTGGACGATTCTTTGTGCTCAGCAAAATGCATGCGGACACGTCTCTACCACAGACGAGTTCTAGGATCTTTGGACAGCTCTTTCAAGAGAAATATTTGAGCGATACACTGGAAGTACATCCGCCAGTTGTGGACACAGAAAGCGGAGGTGAGTCTCAAAAAATATAACTAGTTTGCACAACTAATATTTTTCATGTTGCAGATGTTCTTGTCTCCATCACCCATGCCGTTCCTCCCTATGGCGTTGTGGGCGTTAACTTGTACCTGTCGGATCTGCTCGAGGATCTGCTCAACTATCCCAGTGCTCCATCTAGTGCCAAGCAGGGCAGTGGTTATGCCTTTCTGCTAGATCGGTCAACAGGGAACACGCTGGCTCATCCGGCCTTCCCAAGGCCGCTCATTCAGCGAGAAACTTCATATCCCGTAAACATCGCTTACCTGGAAAACGCTACGGACTTTTCCAGCCTCATTAGGAAGCGACTTTTGCATGAGGAGAGCGGCAATGCCACCACGGATGTCTTTGTAGGCAGACAGCGGCTCCAGCGTACCTACCACTGGCAATCTGTGTTGGGATTTTATGTTCTCTGCCTGGTCAGCAGTGGTGGTGATTCCCTGCGCAATGTTTCCTCCCCGCAGCGATATAACCTTAAGGACACCGTGTCCAACTACGAACCAGGCTACTATGGCGAGAGCATGGACCTGCTTTACCATCGTTTGGACCTCAATCAGGGTGGGAGTGCTCCGCCCAAAACCTGTCGCTACTTCAGGCAAATGGCTACAATGGGTATGTTGTGAGGATTGGGCTACTTCAACGTATTACTTAATCTCTATTTTTTTTTACAGATGCTCCCACACTGTTTCTCAGCGCTGCTGCATTTGAGTCTCCGTTCGGATTCCTTCACAATAATAGGCCTCGAACCCAGGTACGACACGTGGAGTCCATAATGGCCTATCTTCGCGACTCCAGTGGCCTGTTGGCCAATATGGGACTGCGTCCCAGTATTCGGCATGAGGTGAGTGTACTGTACCAGGCGATGCAGCAATTGCGACGTCGACACCAGGATGCCAGAGGATCACTGCGAAGTCACATCATTCGACGGTACATGGCCAGTGTGAGTGGAGTGCTGCAACTGTACCCAGGTTGCTTGCTTGGCAGCAGCTACGATCCAACAAGAAGGCCTTGGTTCCGTCAGGCAATGGCACAGCCGGGCAAGATTGTAAGCACAGCTCCGTATTTGGATGCGGGAGGAGCGGGATACATCGTCACCATTGCGCACACCATCTTCGAAGGCAAGGCCCATGCTCTGCACTCTGTCCAGCAGGACAGACCGGTGGCGGTGGTTGCTTTGGACGTTCCTTATGCCTTCTACTATCGCCTGATAATGGAGGGCACTCCGATCTGCCAGCTGCCACACATGAAGTGTCTGCTGTTCGAGCATGAAGGATATCTGTTGGCCCATCCCAGCATGCTGCAACCCGCCACACTCACGAGAAACCAGCGACGGCCACACGAGCACCTCACGCACAAGGAATCGTACTTGGCCAATGACGTGCTTAACCATGGTCAGTTGGTAAGAAAACTGGGCTGTGCCAGTTATCAGAACCGCACCTTGCAGCGTTATTACGCCTTCAACACATCTCTGGCCACAATCTTAACCAACGTAGTGCACGGCGAGCGAACGAAGTACGCAATTGCCCTTATCCGGGGAAGCAATCTCTTCGCCGCTGTACTAAACTCTAGTTGCGATGGCGGTGCCTTTTGTCCATGCAGCACCATTGATCGGGAATGCCTCAACTGCAAGCGGATGGACCAAACGGACTGCGAATGCCCTTGTGAGTGTCCCATGGTGGGGGACAGCAGCTCGCCATCCTCTCTTGTCTACTTTGCCAACTACACACAACAGTTTCCATACTGCCCACCCCCAAGTGAGCACTTCATTGCACTACCTCCGACGACGCAGCTTCTCAGTGCTTTACCCAGTTGTCCCGGATCTGCGGGCATATGTGAAACTTACTCCACGCAAAGGGAATGCCTCGGAGTGATGGGCTGCGAATGGTGCCAGCAGGATGTGGACGGCAACAGCTTTTCGACCGCCTTTTGTGCATCGCAGGCGAGCTGCTTCAACGGAGTGCTAGCCTCCCTGACACCATATGGCGAACTGGACGAGCTGGAACTTCTGGCAGCCCACAATCCACAAAGGGAGCAGCATGCCTACTCCGCCTTTGGGCCGCTGGGAGGTGCCATGGTGGTACTCGTCATGGTAATAGGGTTCGCCATCTACTGCTACAGGCACAATCTAGATGCGCAGACGCAGGAACAATTC